CCTCCAATACAATATGAATAGATTCTCTCCCCCATCAGAAGATTTTTTTTGGGGGGGGGTATCTGTTTTGCTTATTTTGTTCTCCAAAGAACAAGCTGGCAATTATTCAACATTAACAAATAATTATACATTTAAATATAGGTAAAGGTAAAGGTTCCTCTCGCACATATGCCGTTCCTGACTCTAGGGGGTGGTGCTCATCTCCGTTTCAAAGCCGAAGAGCCAGCGCTGTCCAAAGAGGTCTCCTTGGTCATGTGGCCGGCATGACTAAATGCCAAAGGCACACGGAACGCAGAGAGAGAGGGAGAGAGAGAGAGAGAGGTTTCACGAGCCTCAAATGAGGTGCTGTGTCAACCCTGAAGCTGACCTGGCTGTGATCGTTTTCTTTTCTGTAGTTTGTTTTTCTATCCAGATTTCCTTTCACATGACTTTAGGCTTGACATAGGATGGAGCTGAAGGAGGGTAGAGATAGATGGGGTTTTGTAGCCAAAACAAAATAGTTCTCTCATTAGTCAAGGACATTCCAATTGCTGGCTAGCCAGAAGAGGAGGAGGAGAGGAGTAACCAGGCAATCAGCCAGTACCCAGATTAGACAATGTGGTTTATTGTTTGGGGAAAAGGGAAACTTTCCCTTTTTAATGAGGTGGAAAGCACGGGGATCCTCAGAGTTGGCTTTCCACCAGTTTGTGCCAAGATGATATCTCCTAATAAAACTATTCTTTGAGGAACCAACTTGCCTCGGAATTCTGTTTGCGATGGGTGTATTACTTGCAACCTTGACATGGTGATGTTTTCTCTCCTCAACAAAATATCACTGGACCCAATATTTAAACCTTCCTGCTGCAGGGAGGCTTAAGAGTCAGGCTGAAATTACAGGTCAGGTTGCAATTAAGGAGGATTCTGGCAGAAATTTTGATTATCTATCTAGATCTGTTCCAGTTGGCTTTTAAGTCTGGACATAGTTTGGAGATAGCATTAGTCATGCTTGTTGATGACCTGGGGGCAGAGCCAGGAAGGAGCTGGTGCTGTTATCCTGGCCTTCCTTAATAATTCAGCAGGTTTTGATCATTATGTCCTTCTGGACCAGCTGTAGAGAAGAAGAGAGGCATGTGGTGCCATAGTGGTTTTGCCTTCTCCATGCCTCTTTCAATCAGTGTTGGAGAAGAGTTCAAACCCAAATCAACTTGAAGACTCTGGACTCAACGTCAGTGCTTAAAGGCAGACCTGGAAAACAATACCATGTAGGCCAGTAATATTTTATTGTAAAGCTATAGTAACAAAGTCTCACAAGTGAGAAAGTTCTTCCCCCTCCCCATTCTTTATCTTTGTGTGACTTGAGTAGGGTCTTCTCTGAGATATTTATTCACTTTACTTTCTTGAACCAATACCAGGCTCCTTTTATCTGAACATTAGCAATAGCAATAGCACTTAGACTTATATATCGCTTCATATTGCTTTACAGCACTCTCTGAGCAGTTTACGGAGTCAGCCTATTGCCCCCAGCAATCTGGGTCCTCATTTTACTGCTCTTGGAAGGATGGAAGGCTGAGTCAACCTTGAGCCAGTCAGGATCAAACTCCTGATAGATTTTTATTTTATTTTATTTTACTTCAGATGTTCTGTCCCCAACCCCACGCACACACACCAACAGACGTTCAGGAGTTAAAGACCAAACCAGCTGGCAAAATCCTTTTCCTTATAATAACGGAACTTGGCAACAACCTAGTGGCTGCCTGCCAAGAGTTTATTATTTACAAAGAGGAGAGATAACTTCTCCCCACTTCTGATACATCAAAGGAAAGCAGCTCAATAATTACGGAATTAAATCAAGTCCAGAGATACTCCAGCAAAGTCTTAAAGCAAAAGTCCGGCAATGCAGAATGGCGTGGAAGCTTTCAGCTTTGTTCGTCACAAGGTTTGACTGGCCATCACGCTCCCTTTTATATCCTGTGGGGTGTGGTCCAGTGACTCAGCCTAATCTCGGACATGCCCTTTCTTCTGTTGCGCGCACTTATCTATGTGACGCTGGCGTGGGTCCAGCCAAGACTCATTACCCTCATCACTGTCCATCTGTGGCTGCGTGGACGTGCTTGGCCCTGGCCCTATCTCTTGCCCTTCAGCGGACACCGAAGGCATTGCCAGAGAGGAGGGTCCTGGAGAGGGAGGCCTTGCCAACTCCTCCCCTTCACTCTCGGAGTGACAATGACACAGGCTCCGGTAACGGAGCCACAACAATAGTGGGCAGTCAGCCTGCAATACTGCATTGTAACCACTGTGCCACCTGTTCTGACCTAGGCTTCCCCAGCAGCACGAAGCCAAGTCCTCGTCCCGATAAGCCCCTTTTACTTAATTGACAGTGAATTCCTCTCCAGCAAAATCTTTCCTCTCCCACAGTCTTTCAAGATAGTTCACAATTACCAACCTTTATCAGGCTTGGAGAGCGGCCAGGCCGATAACTTTCAAACGGCGCAATACTTGGCAAGAATGAACTAATTGTCACCTGCAAACACCCCTCCCCTTTCACTCCCTTTTTATTCCCTATAGGAGGGGCCCTTCATCGTCCACCAGTGGCCTTACTCCCAAGTCGACCTTTGTTCCTTAGCTATTCCCTTCATCTGGCAACTCTGCGCATGCGCACACTGGGAACAGGTTCCAGTTGTTTGTCTCCCTCACTGATGCCTGACTCTGAAGGCAACTGATAACTGTCAGACTGCCCTGGCCCCTTCTCTGCCTCCAACGCAGAGCTCTCATCAGAGCCTTCCCCAGACTCCAGGACTGGCCCATGTTCCTCCCCAACCTCCTCACTATCCGAATCTGCTGCCAGCTCCGCTGGCTGCTGGAGAGCCATAACACCACCATAGGTCCTGGTGCCTACCATTTATTTACCTTGGTAGTCGCTCTTCCTTCAGTTCTTCAAGATCATTCCCTCTTCCCTCTATAATGTCCTCTCCCCTCCCCCTCCATGAAACAGCTGGGGGAAGTCATAAGTTGGTTGAGGGTCAGGGGTCTATCAGGGATGAAATGCTCCCAGTTCAGACCAGATCGCCCAATCCGGTAGCGATGGAGGTGGGTGGTTCAGAGAACCAGTAGCAAAAATCCCTGCCCCCCCCCCATGCCCAGCTGAGCCGTACAATCATCAGAGGCTTTTTCTTTTAATTTTTAAAAGCATTTTTTCTACAACCTCTTCAGCCAAAAAAATGCTTTTAAAAGTAAAAAAAAAAGCCTCTGATGATCGCGTGGCTCAGCTGGGTTGTCAAAGGGATTGTCGGCTGATGATCCCAGCTGAGTTGCCTAATCAGCAGAGGCTTTTTTTCTTTTAAATGCCTCTGATGATCCAAGCTGAGTTGCCTGATCGGCAGAGGCTTTTAAAAGAAAAAAAGCCTCTGACGATCAGGCAACTCAGCTGGGATCGTCAGAGCCTTTTGAAAGCATTTTTTTAACAATCTCTTTGGCGAAGAGGTTGTAGAAAAAAAGGTTTTAAAAGGAAAAAAAATGGCCACACCCACCCAGTCACATTATCCCCCCAAGCCATGCCCACATAACCAGTAGTAACAAATTTTAGATTTCACCACTGGGGTCTATGCATGTTGGCCTCTTGTTTTAAGACAGAGCTCATTTTTCCTTGACTTAAGCAGTCTTGGCTTTCCCTTATGCAGCAAAGGGGGTTATGCAGTATGCTATTCTTAGGCAAGAATATAAGTCAATCATTTTGGCCTTGGGGAGAGAAAGTACAAACTGTTCAAGCCAGTGCCAACCCTCCTGGTCATAAAGAAAAATGGTTCTTTTGAAAAATTAGGCCAGACAGTCTAACCACGCAGTGCAAAGGAGATTTGTCTCTGTTAAAACAAATGGATTAACAAGTGGGCCCTGGAAAAGTTACAGCAGATAACTGTATTGAAGCACCTAAATATATACTGTTCGTTGCATTTGCTTGCTTTAAGGCAGCTTTTGATTTAATCTCCCATTTACAGGAAAAGCTGATGCATTTGATCGCTAATACATGCTTGTTGGTGGTAATATGCACACTGTACAGTGGTGGTATTCAGCCGGTTCTATCCGGTTTGGGTAAACTGGTAGTGGCGGCGGTGGGAGGCTCCGCCCACTCACCCGGACATAATCACGTCCCGTTTTTGATGCTCTGCGCATGCGCAAAAGGTCCTGCGCACACGCTCACATTTGCGAACCGGTAGCGAATGTAAGTGAATACCATCCCTGACCCTGTATGATAATATAAATCCAACTAACAAATAACCAAGCACAATTTTGGACACGTCATGCAAAGGCCTAGCTTTCCTAAAAAGTCTACAGTGCTGGTAAAGGTGGAAGGAAAGATAAAAAGAGGATGACCAACAGCAAAATGGACGGAATCAATTACAGTGGATGCCCCAATTGGAAAATTGATACAATTGGGTGCATCATTGAAAAACGTAAAAGGCCAGGCTGGCTGGAGACAGCTCATCCTGGAGAATATGTAATAGTCTTTCTGGTTGCTAAGAGTTGCTTAGAGTCAACGCTGACTTGATGACACATAATCATTGATAATACAAGACTCGGATGTAGCCGAGATGGTTAGCTCACCAATTATAACTGTCAACAGCAGAGGGGTAACTTGGTATTATTTTTCAATGTTTATATAATTTTTAATTATATGTCTACAAGAGTTATTTGCAGATGTTTCAAGATAAATCAGTATCTGTTCTTCTTTACACAGGTGACCACTGAGGTGCATCCATAGCTCCTTGTTCTAGATCAGCTATAGCTGCTGAATGATCTTCAAAAGTAACCCCGCATACAACACATTGCAATAAATCACACACAAGGTGACTAAAACATAATGACTATAAGAAGGCCTTCCCAGTGCAGAAAGGAGCACAATTGCCACCTGCTCTTTGAGCAGCAACTATGAGTCCAGGAACACACCCAAATTCTATACCGGTTCTGAACTAGGACTGACTGGTTTGATCGCCTTGCAGTCTAAGGGACTCGCAGGAGTCTTCTTCAGCAAATAATGGGTTTATGTTGCAAATACATAGTTTAAAGACAAGTAAGGTCCATACGGCAGTGGGACAGCACTTACAGAAGTTGTGGGTTCTCCATCATTGGAGAATTCTAAGAAGACACTGGATAGCCTGAACACCGTAGATGATGGGACAAGATGAACTTTGTGATCCCTTTCAGCTCCACAGTTCTGATGTTATGGTTCTATGAATGAAGAGTGAACAAATCAAGGGAAGGGAAGGTGGACGAAGTGATTAGGGAGCAGAATTGATTGGGAAAAGTGAAAGAACAAAATTCACTGTATAGTGTTATATGAATCTGAGGAAGCAAAGGTTAGAAACATTTGGAAAGGTATAATAAATAATACTAGTATAAATTAATAATAATAATCATCATCATCATTGGCATCCTTCAGTCTCAAAAAACTATGGTATTGTGTTCTGGAAAGAGGTCCTAAAACAGCATCTAGTGTAACTAAAAAGGCCAATTCAAGAGTGGCAATCCCTTCCACACTGAGAGCAGATACATTCTGTCCCTTGCCCAGCCCCCAGATTTCGCTGGTTCCGGGACTGCCTCTTTGCCTCAGCCTGTTGAACAAGTGTCTCTTCGAATTGGAGAAGGCCATGCTGCGTCTTTAGCCTCCAAGCTGAATGATTGGAGGTCAAGATTTCCCAGTTTTTAATGTCCATTCCCAGGGCCTTTAGGTCCCTCTTGCAGATATCCTTATATCGCAGCTGTGGTCTCCCTCTGAGGCGCTTTCCCTGCACTAATTCTCCATGGAAAGCGCCATGGAAATAATAATAATGGAAATAATAGTATTAGTAGTAGTAGTAATAGTAGTAGTAGCAGTAGCAGTGGTAAATCCACATTTTTTTATTACCGGGTCTGTGGGTGTGACTTGGTGGACGGGGCTTGGTGGGGGTGGCAGGGGAAGGATACTGCAAAATCCCCATTCCCTCCCCACTCCTGGGGGAAGGATATTGCAAAATCTCCATTCCCACCCCATTCTGGGGCCAGCCAGAGGTGGTATTTGCCAGTTCTCCAAACTACTCAAAATATCCGCTACCAGTTCTCCAGAACCTGTCAGAACCTGCTGGATTTCACCCCTGAATAATAGTCTTTATTGTCATTGTACATCATGTATACAATGAAATTGGCTGTATAAATTATGTCGCTATATATAGCTATGTTTCTTTTTTTTTCTTTTAATCCCATGCTTTTTATTTCTTCCTTCATTCATGCACTTTGCATAATGTTGCTTACCAAGGGAATAGCATTGGTTATCTATGTATATCTCCTACCAGCATTTTGTTGCTAAAAGTAATCTTTATCATTGGGAAACAGGTCTTTGTACCTGACAGTGTTCTTATAAAACATACCAATGTAGATTTCATATGACGATCTTATTTTTATCCAAAATGGCATAAAACATTTGCACGGTTTGCAGATTCTGTTATTTATAGTGCTAATACTGTGTGCTATGTTGAGAATGTAAGGTTCAGTAAATGCCTGATACAGTGTAAAACTATATCAGCCCTAAAAGCAGCAGCATTTGCATGGAGGACCAACAGAGGCAAGATGGGAGTCCCAGTATCATGATCAAGGCCCCACACCTTCATACATGTGCACATATGAATGGGGCATAGCTTTTAACCATGATGCCTTGACTGCCATCTTGCCTGTTTTGGCACAGGCACACGAACATGCTAGGAATACTGCTTCCTATGTACTTGCAAAATTAATAACACTTAATTTGGGAAGGATGAATCAAATTTGTACCACAAATATTTGTCAGCACCAAAAAATACAAATCCTGTGATAATAAAGTGATATGTAGTTAAATTGTATTTATATTGTCTCACTAATTATTACTTTAGTACAGTGAATTTGAAAAATTTTAACTGTTTAACAATATAATGGTTTATTTTTTTTCCACATAGAGGATTCTTAATTGATTTTCATAATCTCTCATGGAGAAAATCTATCCTTCATGGGCTTTAGCCTCCAACCTAGATCCTTCTCACAAGATCTATTGCTGATCCTGCTATTACTTACCTTCTATTGTGTTTCCCTAGAAATAAGACTCTGTCTTGTATATTTTTTGAACCCTGAAATAAGAGCTTGGCCTTATTTTCGGGGAGGTCTTATTTTGGGGCGTGTGAAGCAAGACGGGACTCCTCTTTACAAGACAGTTGTAAAATAGGTATTAAGCAACCCAGCCCAGGGGTGAAATTTACTTACCTTCACTACCGGTTTGCAAATGTGAGCGCCCAAGCACAGAGGGTCAAAAACGGGATGTGATGATGTCCGGGAAGGTCGACAAAGCTTCCCGCAGCCGGCGCTACCAGTTCGCCCAAGCCGGATAGAACCGGCTGAATTTCACCATTGGTCCAGACTTTTCCTTATTGCCTGTCACAATTTTACCATCTTTTCTAATTGGCAGACCATTCATTTCCTTAACTTTCCTCTCATTCAGAGGTGGTATTCAGCCGGTTCTGACTGACAGCTGGTAGTGAAAATTTTGAGTAGTTTGGAGAACTGGCAAATACCACCTCTGGCTGGCCCCACCCCCAATCTATTCGCTGCCTCCTGAGTCTCAGCTGATCAAGTCCTAGCTGGGTCTTCTTTTGTTGCCCTGCACAGGAGAATGGAGCTGGAAAGCAGGTTAGTGAGGTGAGGTGAGAATGGAGATTTTACAGTATCCTTCCCCTGCCACACCCACGAAGCCATGTCCACCGAACCGGTAGTAAAAAAAATTTGAATCCCACCACTGCTCTCATTCCATGTATACTCCCCAATTGCTTTCTTGTTATTTTTGGTGATCATTACAAGCCTCACTCATTCAGGGCCTTAGCCTTCTTGATGCCATTCTTACAGAATCAAGTTATTCCCTGGCAGGCTGCTTTTGAGATATATTATCTCATTCTTCCTTCCATTGCTTTAAACTTGTTCTTTTTCTTTCTCCATTGATTAGAGAGCACCTGATGCAAAACAGCTATCTCCCGTTTTTCTTTCTCTTTGATATTGTTTACGTCTGGGCCTTAATTACCTCATCTTTAATCATTTCACAAAGCTGCCTGGGTTGTTTTTTGTTTTTTGTTTTCTTTTCTTTCAGGATTTCCATTGAAGGATTCTTCCCTCCTTTTATCCTTAGCTTATTGAAGTCAGTCCATTTTGATTTTGCAAGCTATGAAAATTTTTGTGACACAGTGTCCTGTCAGTGTTAAGTACCTGCCCATTCAGTTACAACAAAGGAAAGACTGCATCCCGAGCTGCCATTGTAGGATTTCTTTGCTTCGCACGGTTAACAAAGCCCTTCCTTGGTCTCATCTCTAACACATGACAGAAAAAACATAGCTGAATGCTGCACTATTATCCTGAGCGAACCTTCTGATCAAAAATGATGGGTTAGCATATGAAAAGCATTTCATGTCGCTCCCATTGTGAAGCAGCAACAGATTGTCATTGCGACTCATAAAATCTGTGTGTCCTGTCACATGCCTGTCCTAAATACATCTAGTTAAAATCAGAACATAATGATTTTTTTTCAGGTAAAACTATTCCTAGATCAAAGCGATAAAAGTTTGCGTTGTTGTGCTATGCTTCTCCTTTTTGAGCGATGGACAGACAGTGGTAAACTTGAAATACCCATTGCTAGAAAAGCACTGAGACATGTCCAAAGTATTGTACTCCCTACAGTTAAAAGTGCCGCTCTTAAAAAGAATTGCTAACAAAAATGAATCGTATTTAGGTTGGCGAGAACACCAGATCCGCTTAGAATTTATATTGTGGGCAGCTGCAGATTCTTTTTTTAAAGCTAAAATCCATGTGCTGCTTGATTCCAGAAAAGCTGTAAGCAGGTCGCACATAATCCTAAAATAAATAAAATAAAATAATAAAATAAAGAAAACTTAACATGCCTGCCCAGGGGTGGGCTTCAAAAATTTTTAGCAAGGGGTTCTCTGCCTGGTTGCTGGGTGGGTGTGGCCAAGGTGGGCGTGGCCTGGTCGGCCTCCTGCATCATGTGGGGGAGGGGCATTTTTGCCCTTCCCGGGCTCTGGAGGCTTTCCTTGAGCCTCTGGGAAGGTGAAAATGGCTTCCCCAGGCTCTGGAGGCCCTCTGGAGGCTGGAAACGGGCCCAGAACTTCCAGTAGGACCATTTTTTGCTCTCCCAGAGCCTCCGCACACACCCTGCACTTACCTGCATCCAAAATGGGCCATTCAGGGACTACTGGGAGGGGACGGGAGGGGTGGGTGGGGCGGGGCGGGGCCAGCCAGGAGTGGGATTTGGGGGTTCTCCAAACTGCACAGAAATTTAGCTAGAGGTTCTCCTGAACCAGGGGTGAAATGCTCCCAGTTCGGACCAGATCGCCTTATCCGGTAGCGATGGCGGCGGGTGGTTTGGAGAACCGGTAGCAAAAATCCCTGTGCCCCCCCCCCGCCCAGCTGAGCCACATGATTATTCAGAGGCTTTTTAAAAAAACTTGTAAAAGTATTTTTTCTATAACCTCTTCCGACGAAAAAATGCTTTTAAAAGAAAAAAAAAGTCTCTGATGATCGCGCGGCTCAGCTGGGATCATCAGAGGCTTTTCAAAGCATTTTTTTTCTGCAACCCCTTGGCCGAAGAGGTGGTAAAAAAAATGCTTTCAAAAGTCTCTGACGATCCCAGCTGAGTTGCCTGATCGGCAGAGAGGTATTTTTTAAAAAGCCTCTCTGACGATCCCAGCTGAGTTGCCTGATCGGCAGAGGCTTTTCAAAGGATTAGAAAAAATGCTTTGAAAAGTTAAAAAAAAAAAGTTGGCCACGCCCACCCAGTCACATTACACCCCCCCCACCAAGCCACGCCCACAGAACCGGTAGTAACAAATTTTACATTTCACCCTTGTCCTGAACCCCTACAAACCCCCAGCAGCCCACCCCTGTGCCCACCCCAATGAAAACAATCAGCCTTTCTGTCCAGTAACAGAAAAGAAAAATACTCATAAGAGCCAGTTTAGTGATTAAGAATCAGGCTAGAAACCAGGAGACGGTGGAGTTCTACTCCTCCCTTAAGCATGGAGAGGTGACTGGTTCAGTAACTGTCTCTCAGTCCAACCCACCTCACAGGGTTGTTGTTCTGGGAAAATAGGAAAAGGAAGGTATGTTGAATATGTTCACCACCTTGACTTATTTCTAAAAATAATAATGATAGGATATAAATAAGT